CGACAAAATTTCTTTAAAACTTAAGAGTAATATTCCCACAGGACGCAAGACAAAAAAAAAGTACGGAGTAATATTCCTCTATGAGGCTATGTACATTTCTATTATGTGAAAATCTGTACTACGGAGTTACATTCCTCCAGAAGTCATTGCATGGTTCTAATAAGACAAACTAAACTAAGGAGTGATATTCATCTAAGAGGCATTGTACATTTATAATAAGACAAAATGATTTACGGAGTAATATTCCTCTATCAGTCTATGTACATTCCTAATAAGACAAATGAAGTACGGAGTAATATTCCTCTAGGAGGCAATGTGCATTTCTATTAAACAAAATCTGAACTATGGAGTAATATTCCTCTAGGAGGCTATGTATATTTCAAATAACTAAAGACAAAATCTGAACTACGAAGTAATTTTCCGAGTTGAGGCAATGTATATTTATAATAAGGAAGAAAACATAGCACCAGGGTATCCTTATAGGAAGCTTTGTACAAATCTAATGAGAAAATTTTCTATTACTTCAAACTATTTGGAAATACTAGTGATTGATATGAAGAGGTAACAAATAGCAATCCTAACTATACTGATAAATTACTTTAAACCAAAAAATACTTCTGACCTAACTTATTTGTCCTTGATCTATACAGAAATTCCGTTGGTGGGCTCAGCAAACTTAAAAAAATACCAAGGCTATCTTAATCTTCATTTACAAATACTTGGTGGAGTCACAAAAAAACCAAATAAACAGAACACAAAAGAATACTTGAATGATATATTGTCCATATTGTCTGTGTATCTAATTATTAAAAGTGGGCCCACCAAAAGCATTAAAATTTAACATTTGTAGTTTTTCCTCTACAATGACTAATTTCCTTTCAATACAAAAAAACAAAAAAATTAACAAGAAAAAGTTGAAAATCTACATCTTACCCCCACTTTACTTTGTCTTGATACATTTGCAATTCAGGAATAATTTGAACTATAATCATGTGATTAATATAATTATGAGATACAATCATGACAATGTTAAAGTATCCTTTAAAATGGATAATAAATAAGTCGTTTTGCATCTTTTATCACTAACATTGATGTGAATTTGCACAGCTATGGAATGGTTTGCAAGAGGAAAGGGCCGAAGAACATGCATTGACTTATTCCAAATTCTGTTTGGGAGGTCCAATTTCCAGTTGGTTGGTAACATGTTAATTAAATCCTATTGGTCGGGGCTTGATCTGTATCATTTGACTTCTGATATGAATTTCCCTTACACATTTTAGCCATCCTTCCATAATTTTACAGTTAAGTACGTAATTCTCCTTGATTTTTCTTGAATAAAAGAACCACTTTTGCTTAACCATGTTACGTTAAAACCGTCATCACAATATACCACCGATGATATTTTGTATACCACTGTTCTCTGGTCTCTTTCTAATTGTGTTAATACAATTTCTGTTTTAAGACATCTATGTGTTTTCTGCTTATAATCCTCAGACATCTTGGTGGTTTTGGTAATGCTGGGCTGTTCCCTGCCATCTTATAATCTGTGATAAAAGTACATGTACAAAGTCTGTATTGTGCACAAAATTAAAATAATTCTTATTTTCTTAGTTTTTTAAAAATAAATTTTATACAATATGATCATTTAAAGAAGTGATTAAAGTCATTTCAAGTAAACAGAATTTGAGAAAGAGACCCAAAAGACAACATCGCTGAAATCAGATTGAAAAATTTAAATACAAAAGCTCTTCTGACGTCTATTCTCCTTTGCCTTGCCCAGCCCTCAGGCAGATTTTTTGAACAGTCATTTGTATCTGTATCTCCCGATGAAACATTTCTATATATATTTTTTTCTAATTTCGGCTTTCATATCCTAATATTTTTTTTAATATCCTAATATTTCTTCCTTGCATAAGTTTGATCTACTGCTGCGATCCAACACTACCAGCAAGGTTCATCATTTGAACATATTTGAGGCTACGCTACCTCCTCCATTTGTAAATCATATCATGATAAGAATAATTTATGAAAGCTTTTAAGTGGAGACGACGGAAGTTTTTGTAACCAAATACTTTACCTGTACAAATATTAACGAATTCAAGTTGTACTTTCATTGTGTTGGCTTCGGAAAGGGAAGGGGGGGGGGGGTCAACAAAATTTATTTAACAGAGGGAGGACACAAATAAAACAGGAAAGCACATGTTGACCTTCATAAAATCATAAATCCATTTTGTTTACAGAAATATCAATTGTTCCTTTTATTTATCTTGATACTTTAAAAAAATGATCTTCACTTCATCATTAAAATATCCAACAAGATAGAAACACCTTTTTCATATTACATTTCTAACTTTCAAAATAAATGCGACTTACCGTAGTAACGCCAGCAAATTCTTCTTCGATTCTCCCAAATGCCTTCACTTCTTAAAACACGTTCAATAAATCCTTTACGTTTGAAAGCTTTCTGATCAAATGCATCCAATAAATCTTTCATCATTAAGATCATGTTCAGGTCGTTGTACATTGCAGTATATTCCATTTAAAAGGCTTAGATATTTACTTTATCTTTCATGCCTACTATAAACAATATCATGCGCAGACCTTCTTCCTGTCCCTGCGTAATTCCAACTCTCATTCGATTCAAATTATGATGTTTCAACACGCACGGGCTTAGACTGGTAACCTGCAGAGTGTATCGTGCATATCAGACAGTCAAGGTCAATCTAGTGCGGGTTCTGATGGTCAACAGAGATTTGAATTCTCTTTAAACTGATTGCTATTATTTTCCTATTTCTTCCGTTCTAAAACCTGTAATTTGTGTAATTTTTATGAGTTGTCTTAAAAAAAATCTTTTGCAGTATTTAAATGAAATTAATGTGATTCTCTCGCAAAATAAAAAAAAAAAACAAACAAACATGTGTACATTTATATATAAAATTCTATTAGTTTCACATGTCAAAATAAAAAAAAAAGTTAATTATTTTCATTTATTTGAAAAAGAAATAGTATATCTTTATTTTTATCTATTAAGTGATTAACTAAATATAACTTTGGGAGAAAAAAATCAACAATCTTTCCGGTCAGCTGTTACAGTAAATAAACATGAAGAATGCAAGCTGTAAGAGATTTTTATTCAACTCTTATGGAATAAACAGGAAATCAGATATCAAAGTTTCTAAAGGTTAGAAGCGAGTCTTGATTATTTCAAAGTGCATTTTTCGCATAACAAAATATATTCGGTCGTATAATAGTATCAACAATGAAGTCGAATTATACATGTACATTTACTGCTAAAACAAGATAGCTGAAGAGCCATTACAGCCAAGGTTACCGAATTATTTAATAAGTGTAAATCACCTGTTTCTGTTAACCTATGTATAGATACTATTATATAATAGTATATATGTCTTTTCAATTCAACATCAAACTACATGTAATGATGTTTGTTATCATTTTTGAACAAGTATTTATTTATATTTTCATAGTTGGAAAAATGTTACACGACAATCATTTTAGTTGATTAACATTTAATACATTATTCTTAGACAAAAGAGTTAGAAAATCTGCAAAATAAAACAATCAGCTATGAATTTGAATTAATCAAATAGTTTGGGACTGCCTTTTCCGAGATAATTTCTAGGTGCAGTGTTCATATTATAAATTTCTGAAATTATGTACATTCTAATACATAATAATTCACGGTTTTTTTTTTCGAGCAAGTCTGATTTACGAATAGAGCACTACTATATTTCTTATACAGGACTTAGCTGACATATTTTATATGGACCTGAGTTCAGAGAGCGGACATTTGAAACTGCTGAATATTCTCTACAGGTCAGTAGTGAAATGGAGGAAACATAGTAAGAAATTAAAGTTAAAACAAACAACGGATCCAGTATTTTCCTTTAGCTTCCACATCTGCTCTAATTAAGATAATTTTCGTTTCATAGGAATCTTTGTTACATTTCTTTTCTATGCAGAAATGTTAATCATTATATTCTTGTTCAAGTGTTAATAATTAAAGTTTCTTGTCATACTGTGTATTGTTAAAACCTTTGAAAATTGGTTATGGTAGTTTAGGAGGAAGTCATTACAAATTTATTTACCGTATAGTGTATGTATAGACTTGATTTCAATGGTTTCTGCAAGGAGAAGTTAATTGTTTATGGTTTACTTATAGGCTGGATTTCAATGGTTTCTACAAGGAGAATTTAATTGTTTATTGTTTACTTATAGACTGGATTTCAATGGTTTCTACTAGGACAAGTTAATTGTTTACTTATAGACTGGATTTCAATGGTTTTTACAAGGAGAAGTTAATTGTTTATTGTTTACTTATAGACTGGATTTCAATGGTTTCTACATGGAAAAGTTAATTGTTTATTGTTAACTTATAGACTGGATTTCAATGGTTTCTACAAGGAGAAGTTAATTGTTGATTGTTTACTTATAGACTGGATTTCAATGGTTTCTACAAGGAGAAGTTAATTGTTTATTGTTTAATTATAGACTGGATTTCAATGGTTTCTACATGGAAAAGTTAATTGTTTATTGTTTACTTATAGACTGGATTTCAATGGTTTCTACAAGAAGTTAATTGTTTATTGTTTACTTATAGACTGGATTTCAATGGTTTCTACAAGGAGAAGTTAATTGTTTATTGTTTACTTATAGACTGGATTTCAATGGTTTCTACAAGGAGAAGTTAATTGTTTATTGTTTATTTATAGACTGGATTTCAATGGTTTCTACAAGGAGAAGTTAATTGTTAATTGTTTATTTATAGACTGGATTTCAATGGTTTCTACAAGGAGAAGTTAATTGTTTATTGTTTACTTATAGAATAGATTTTAATGGTTTCTACAAGGAGAAGCTAATTGTTTATTGTTTACTTATAGACTGGATTTCAATGGTTTCTACAAGGAGAAGTTAATTGTGTATTGTTTACTTATAGACTGGATTTAAATGGTTTCTACAAGGAAAAGTTAATTGTTTATTGTTTATTTATGGACTGGATTTCAATGGTTTCTACAAGGAAAAGTTAGAAGCCATGTCAGCAGAGAAGGCTATGATGGAATCTTCTATACACAGCACAGATTCTGGTAAATTATAACCTTGAGAGAGTTGGGTAGTTGTGGCTATTTTAGACTTAATTTATCTCTTTAAGAAGAAGATTTCCATGGAGAAATATACAAAAATGGTCAAGTTTTAAGCTTAATTGTGCTACCCTATAAGTGGAAATTTAGTGATATGCAAATTTAGTGATTTCTACCTGAAATGTGGTACTTTATTTTTTAGCGAGAAGTAATTTTAGCGATTATAAAATGCTAACTAAAGAAGCTATTACAAATAGTACAGAACTAATTTTTAGCAATATTAAATTTTAAAGATGTCAACACCCTCGCTAATAATGCCAAAATTACATCATCGCTAAAAATTCTACTTGTACAGTATTTTTTTTTGAAAAATCTAAAAAAAAAAAAAAGTATTTCTGATGAGTAAAGTGTTGACCCCTAGCCTCCTGGAAATAGATGTGGAAAAATAGTTCTATCTCGCAGGAGTGTGATAGAAAAATAAATATAACAAACATCAATATTTTACAATTGATGATAATTTTAAAAACTCATTATAACATATATTCTACAAATCATCATTGTTTATTCATAGGATCCACAGGCTCATGGCCGACGTCATCGTTTACGTCACAGCGTCCAGAGACAGCTCAGTATGTCCCCAGCATCCACAAACAAAGGCCGTCATCTAATTCATCTAGTTAAACAGGGCTGACTAGGCTCAGTATGTCCCCAGCATCCACAAACAAAGACCATCATCTAACTCATCTAGTTAAACAGGGCTGACTAGGACAAATCAAGTACTAACGGTGAAAAGAGATGAATAAGTTCTATTTAAGTTCATTGTTGGATATAAATGACCAATTGCAATGCACATGTGATTGTTTGTGTTGGTATTTATGAGATATTCCTTAATTAGGGAATATAAAATTATGTGTGATATAGTTCTATTATTTTAATAAATAGTCACTAATTCCACTTTTCTGCGTGTTATTGGTTTTTTTAATTGTTTAATAGGGATTGCTAAAATATACCCACAAATGTCTGGTTGCAGAGAAAAGCACATTTTTTTCAATATATATTCATGTATTTATTGGAAATATCTACAGGCAGTGATATCTTTGCCTAGCTTTAAATTCATGCAGTTACATATAAAAAAATATTTTAAATTTTTGATAAAACACCAATGAAAAATAATTATACAAGTATATACAATAAACAAACAAAAAAGCGCATTGATCATTGGATAAATATTGATAGATAAAAACAAAAAAAAAATGTAAACTTAAGTAGTGTCTGGGAGAAAGTCCAAGAGTATAGGACTGTGGCTTTTATTAATGCTTTAAATGTATTGTATCCTGGAATAATACAATGATTTGAATGTATAGTATCCTGGGTAGATACATTAGTTTACCTCTGGTTGCCAGTCGCATTGAAATAGCTATTTAAGTTTGAATACTGTGAATTTTTTTTTCTCTTCACCAACAGTCATTGATAGTAGTAACATTGCCAAATAGAAATAAACTTTCATGTATTAATAACTACAAAGCGACATCAGAGGAAAAGTATTGAATATACTATAGTATTACAAAAACTCGCACATCCGATTGGTCTGATTCATTCGAATATTTTCAATGCATTTGAAATGTGACAATGATAAGATTTAGTATCATTTTTTATATATAGTAATTTATATTTTATTAAATTTATCCAGCTCAGATAGTTGATGTTCCGGATGCCTTTCTATTGAAACAGTTATTACAAGTAAATAAATACGGTGTGTCAGGACCTTTATCATCTCTCTGATGTACAATATCCATATAGTTATTCTTTACAGGATACACGATACGATAGGATATACATACGATATGATAAGCGCAAAACACGGGTATGATAAACGCAAAACAAGGTACAAAACGCAAAATACGATAAATGCAAAACACGATACTATAGGATACATGCCAGATAAAATTGTAAAAAAATAACGATGCGGGTGCTGTACATAGAGCACTTGTCATCTGCAATACATCAGCTTCATTTGCCACTGCTCGACAAAAAACATTGCTCAAAGTGCATCAGGATCTAAACCATGTGCAATACGTTATCATAAATTACAGTTTTGTTGCGTCTAAGCACACCTTAAGTATTCCAAAACTAAATTACATAGCACCAAATAGACTGTTCTTGTTCTGACCTTGAATAATTATTTCCTTTTATCTTTGAACAATAACATGCACGTCTTTAATATAAAGACATGTAACACTGAACAAAAGATAAAAACCAAACAACTGAGGGCTTGTTGGGTACTATCAAAATACCATAGGCTTTGCAACCTAGTAAATGTTTTATGGTAGAAACTATCAAATAACTGCTGAACTATCTAATTGATCTCACCTACTTTATAAATACCATGTAAAACAATCAACAGCTTCTGGTTCGAGGTTAAAACATTTTGAGTTGCATCTAGCGAGTAACGGATTGTTGAAAGTGTGGAATCCATCGGCAAAGAAAGGACCTAACATATATAAAACTAACAAAATCAGAAAAAAAAAATCATTCGTAACTCCCCATGGCCGTGATCAACATTTTTAATTAAATATCTTAGAATTAACTTCGACTGTATGAAACATGTGGAGATAACGAACATAATTCAGGAACAAAAGTCCATAATAGGGGCAGAGCAAACACGGATCTCCAAAACATCAGAGGTGTAATCAGATGGGATGGAGGAATTAACATTTCCTGCGGACGAAAGTCATACACAGGTTTTCCAATTTGCATCTAAATAAATATTTTTTTTCTGTTAACAGAATGGAATTTTTTTTCTGTCTCAACGCATACATTCTACCCATACTCTCTCGAAATGATACCGTCTTCCAGTATTAAAATTTTATTTTTTTGATTTTAAAATTTAATTTTATTAATTTTATTTTGAAACATTCGTAAAGCATTCTTATTATTAGGAATATACATGGGAGGATTTGAAAATGAAATTAGAGGTACTGTCAGCAATGAGCTCACTTAATGATACCCTCGTCTCCCATATGCATATAATGGCAATGTCCATGTTTTGTGGTGGAAAACTAAAAATATGTGCCAGATCAAAAAGTAAAATAGGGGGTGCACAATGGCAATATGTAATAAAGATTCAGTAAAAGTTTTATCAAATTTCAATAAGCGGTATGAGAGGAGTTGCGGATAAAAGATATGTACCCCAAAGCGTAGCAGACAGACAGACGGACGGACGAAAAAACCGATTACTATATACCCTTTTGCTTTTTAAGTGGGGTATTACAAAGGAATTTCATGTCCAGATTCGATAGCTAAGAATAAAAGGAAATATGCCTTTTTCTTTACATTTACCACTTTTTTTCAAATGGTGCTTTATCCGTAACATTTGTTTTAAATTATTTTCTGAAGGCATTTTTACGTGGTAAGCTGGAATAGAACAGCTTATATAATCTGTATTGTTATCAAGACTTTGTGACGTTTTTGGACAGTTGGTTTCCCAGTTCCTGGTGGAAAAGCAGTTGAATCAAACATCTATGAGATGTGATTGACGCCTTGTATTTTTAACGCAAAAGGAATGCTGCTGCTATGTAAATGGTAAAAGCAAACCCAGAGAAAGTTAGCCGGGCCGCTGCAGCCGCTAGAGAGCTTCTGTAGGAACCATACGGGTGGAAACGATTGTTCCAAGCTTGTCTTTGCTGCCCAAATGCTAGACTTTCAGCACTTCTAATTTTCTTCTCATTATCAGAGTTTTCAGCAATTTCTCTGAACTGATACTCATTTACTGTCTTCCAACAAGACGTAAGCTGGTGTGCTGAGCCCACTGCTGTCTCCGCGGAGAGCTAGTGTAGCCGTCCTATAGAAAAGCGTGTCCTGAGCTTGCCTTTCTTACCTGAATCCTCTAAAGTCACCCATGACAGAATATCGAGAAAGACCAGAAGATGTGTGGATAGCACAAAACAGACGCGGATCATTCAAATGACTTCAAATGGTCAAAACTCGATCACTATCAAACACAATAAAGAAGAGATCTCCACTCCTTGTGACTGCTATGTCACGTGGCCAGTCCCCTGACTGAGCTGGTTCGGACTGACTGAAGAAGTTTATCCTGAAGGTTGTAGAGTTTCATGATTTTATCTCCTCCACAGGTCCAGATTTCTTCATCACTGAAACAGGTTACACTGCATGGTCTATACCCAGTGTTTATGGTAGTGAGGAGCTCTGGTTCATCAAGCAGTGGTTTGACTGGAGGACATCATACAGCTTCTGGTGTTTTTATTATGTAGCCATGTTCTCCTGTTGAAATGGATAAGGCACACCGAGAACCAAACATTTGATGGAGCTGTTCTGTATTGATATGATGAGGTGAGAAACTTGGAAATGATACAATGATTTTAGGATGTAAACTTTCGAATTCAGCATTCCAAGATTGGTATGCCAAGGTTTGGGAGACATCATTTTAGTGTGGTTCGGACATTTTGGGTAGTTAATGTTAGAAGTAGAAGTTCTGAGCTTGTATGGTACAACATTATGTCGTTTAGATAAATCAGAGAGATGCTCCCCTACACAGGCCTTACAAAGATTAATCAGACAAAGTTCACAATGATGCTGCTATGCAGCTGTTTGACATAGATCCAACATGGCCTCCCTAATATCCTACAATTTTTAAAAGTATTAGACTTTTTAGTCTTTACTCCATATACTCACCTGGTTACCAGGCCAAGTGATTTGAATATCTGAGATATCTTTAAATCTGCGAAAATAAACTTTAGTTTTTGTGGTACATGTACATAAGGGTATTACTGGTCTACCTGTTTAGCTGTATGTAGACATTTATTTCGGAGATTATCTTTTAAACAGCACATAATTATTTTTCAAGATTTGTAGAATTGATTTATACCTTTGAACTTGTGAACGTAATATTTTCTCATCGATCTGTCCAAGTTAATTAATTTAGAAGATTGTGACCTATAAAATATTTCATCGCAAATAACTTGAATTTTGACCAATTAAAGAGGGGTTGAACTCTTCTCTTGTAAAGAATGTTAATATGATTGATATTAACGCACTTTGAAAATAAATATAATTTTAAGCTCACCCGAGCCGAAGGATCAAGTGAGCTTTTCTGATCACATTTTATCTGTCTCCTTCTGTCCGTCCGTACGTTCGTCTGTCCGTCCGTCTGAAACTTTTCACATTTTTGACTTCTTCTCAAGAACAACTTGGCCAATTTTGACCAAACTTGGTACAAAATATCCTTAGATGAAGGGACATTTATATTTTTAAAATGAAGGCCCAAACCCCTCAAACGGTGAGATAATAAATAAAAAGACAAAAAAGGGTTAGGTCATTAAAAAAAATCTTCTTCTAAAGAAGCACTGGGCCAGAAAAACTGAAACGTATGTGGAAGCATCCTGGGGTAGTGTAGATTCCAAATTGATGATGGTGTTACTGATATTGTTGAAAGGAACATTGCGGAATTTGATGAAAATGAGCATGTTGTTGCTCCAGAGGTAGAACATACTCAGGGATGTGACTTAGAACAGTTCATCAAGATGTTATTCTATTTAGTTGTCAGCTGAAGATTTATGAGGATTTTTGCATTCCATCAAAAAACTAGCATACCATTCACATTTTCACAACAAGTTGTGTAATTTCATTTCATGGGACAGTTTTGGTTTTGTCAAATTAAGTCAAGATCTATTAAATGAAAGGTGCCTACAAGTTTCTATTATTTAAAAATTTTATTTAGTAATTTAGCTTTGTAACCAAAAAGCATAAATTGAAAATAGGTACAATTTAAGAGTATTTTGGCATGATTTCAAATTGCATTCCATGGGATTTTAAAATGCTTTATTTTCTATAATGTTTTTAAACTGTAACAATTATAAGGTACAGGAAAAGTATCATTATAATAATTATGAGGTCATAATGGTTCTAGCACTAGCTAACACACTCATTGGATACATGATGTCACACGATGTAGAGTCTACGTTAAGATCGGTCTTCGACCAGTGAGGTACAGTGATTGTAAAATCCTCAACATTATTTTTAAAAAAACACATAACAAGAAACATTTATTAAAGATAAATATTTTAAAACATATTTAGTATAATGTATATCTAATAATAATAATAATAATAATTATAATAATAATAAAGGGAATAAATCTATAGGGTAAAATTGAATAAAAATGCTTTACATAGTAAGAATCAAGTAATAATAATACTGTGTAGGTATATAAAGTAATGGTGAACATTGCTGCATTGAAAAGTTGTAAAATAGATCAACACTGATCGATCTCAAAAGAACTATAAACAATAAACATCACTAACCAGGGCATAAGCAGTGACCCCTGGAGATTCTAGAGATGGGATCAGGTGCATAGAAAGAGAAGGCATCCTCTGTCGCAAAATATTTACCACTGTAAAAAGGGAACATTGATTTCCTAAAAGTCACGTTGTACATTTATAAGTTCTACATCAAGAACATAAAAAACTATTTGGAAAAAGTTAAACTATAGAATTTTTCTACATTTATGAATGTACATTGAAGAATGCAATCAATCTGAAATCAGTTTTTAGATTCCATATTTCTTTATATATATATATACCACACATACAAAAAGAGTGATCAATGTTTAGTACATACGTTAAAAAGTATTCTTTAAGAAATTTTTTATGCGTATATGTAGAATTTTTGATAAGGAGAAGACCCTTACGTCTCAAGTTTTAACAACACAATAGGACGGTCCTCTTAGGAGACTGTTACAAATCCGGAAGACAAGTGTTGTCAATGAAAAGCACTTTGTGTCTTATTTTTAATTTGTGGCATTTATGATAAACAGATTATTTTTAAAAACATTTACGTTTTCAATAATCTGCAGATCCAAGATTAAAAAAAAAAATAAAACAATGAGAGTTTCAAAAGATAGTAAAATTTTGCAGGGCTTACTTAAATGAGGCGTTTTAAAATGTAATTCTGACAAGAATTAACTCACGTTTGTACAGTTTCATATTGTTTCTAAATTAACTGTACTGATGGTTTATATACCCCTTACATTCCTTTAAAATATCGTTCACAGAAAAGTCAAGCTTTTTTATTTGATGAGTTGCCAAGATACAGTTCTTTTACTCTGTGGTTTCGGCATATTAATCAGGTCTGTAGATAGTAACATGTTATTTGGTAAACGAATAGTTCAATATGGATACAACTGAGGAATTGAAATGTTGATAATACTCTCAAGACACGCTATATTGTGTCGAATGTAATATACTTCTTAGTTGCCTTGGTAAAACGACCAAGAGCCACTCGGAGGCTAGCTGCGATTGTCTCATTTTTTGCACTGAAACATTCTGCGTTCAGAAGCCTAAACTCCCCACCATATATGATACCAACTGCGTACAAACTGTCCCCAACTCTCGTCAAAACAATAGAACCGCTGTCCCCTTTGTTGGAAAATCTTTCAAAAGCAACATGCGGTAGTATAACCATAACCTCGCCATCAAATAATTCAAAGTCGCTAACTTTCTGGACGAATCCCTCCGTTTTTGATGTAGTCGCGCCATACTTAAATACCATCCTGTCGGTCAGTGTTGAAAGAGGTTGTCCATAAACAAGAACCTTTTCGTTCAACCCTTCAATGGTTTTTAGTGATAACCCCAGTACTGAATTATGTATTGATATAACGGACACATCATGCACGTTATCAACTGATCTTCCCATTTCATACATATTTTCATTCGGCCAAATGCAGCGGCCAATCCTTTGCTCGAGATGCTGGACTTTTGCAAGATCCCCTTCTTTGAAAAGATGACCAGATGTAATGGCAACAACGTTTGAAAAAGACTCAACATGATTTTGTTGACTTGAAATTTCTCCAAACATTCCTAAGCTCCCTTGAATCTTTTTTTCTTCATTTATAATTTCACCACCACATTTGATCAAACACTGTGGATTTAACGATTCTTTTATAGCCTGAACTTCTATCTTCCCCTCAAAATGCATTCCTATTGCTTTTTTGAGTTTGTTTTTGTGACTTGAATTCTGATTACAAGAGAAAATATGTAAAATTCCATCACAAAGCCTGTATCCAACGACTCCATATTTTCTTACACTAAATAAAGAAAAAAACGTGTTTATATATATATATATATATATTTGAAATAAGTAAATTTTATTGTTTAACAGATTCGCCAATTCAAAAGGTTGTACACAAACCAATATATGTTTCGTTATTTTCTTGCTTGAACGATTACTGAATTTTAAAAGATATTATAATACCTACGCTTTAATCTTTTTCACACACTTTTTTGAAAGTTTTGAGTGTACAAGGCATTTCCTGGCAAGAAGTTTCTCTTTTCTTTCTTCCAGTTGTTTGACAAATCCGCTGATTTGTCTTGTTGTAGGTTTGGCTTTCAAAAAGAATGTGATATTGTGAATTGTCTTCTCTAATTTCAAGTAGCATTTATCATAAATTATTGATTTGTCACCGTTCACCCTTAGGACATGTGATGCATGACAATGGGTTTTACTGACGATCATCTTTCTTTTCTTTTTAATATCAAAATCAGAATCGACAATAAAAAACAGCGTTGATCTGTCAATGCCCTTCAGCAAGGAGTTTAATGAATCAAAGGAGATCTGAAAATAATCCCAAAACTTATAATTATTGAGGATCAATTTAAGAATTAATGAAAGTCATTAATTTACAGAAAAATTCTTCACCTTATCTTCCCAAAACGAAGATCCAAGATAACACACAAAAACAGATTCTTTATCAAAAGACTCTTCTTCATCTAAAATAATAATAAAAAATCCCATTATAAGTAAATAATTTGACTAAAAAGAGGATGACTTTGAGAATACAGAAAAACAGGTCCTACATTGCTTATACTGGGTTGTTTTGGTTGAAAATTGGAAGAATTCAAGGCACAATTTCTTGACATTTTCTTTGTCATCAGTAATGAAATATATGCCATCTTTTGGTTCAGGAACTGTCTTTAGCGATTCCCATTCCGTCCTCCAGAAATACTGTATCTCTGAGGATATGCGTTTATATAGGTTCAATTCTGATGCCCCATATTCGAATGTGACATAAAAAGGACGGAAGGTATGAGATCTTTCGGTACATCTTGGTGGACTGCAAAATAATAATCTATTGCTTGATTCAAACAAAATATTTAAGAACCTAGTTTTAAAAGTTGTCTAAAATTTCAACTTTACGTAATATGTTTTCTGTAGTTAAAAAGTCAGTAAGATACAAAAGCATATTTTAATCATTTATAATGAAATGTCCAGATAAATTTTATAATTGAGTTTATTTAGATGTACCTGCCTACTCGGAAACGTTTCCGTGGTACTGGATCAGCCAAATAGAAACCTAAAAAAAATGTTAAGTTTGTCATTAACCAGTATCTGTGCTATTGAAGCCGTCCTATAGCTAGGACTATGACAAATTCTAGTTGTAAGTGGGGCCATCAAATATGTCCTAGGTAAAGACATATCTAAACGTTTCAACTAAATTTAAATGTATGATCTGACCATGTATGGATTTAAGAGGCTGCAACTTAGAACAACCTTTCATTTCTTATCATACAGTTAGTAAAAGGGCGTTAAACTATTGCTTTAACATGTTCATTTTATTTCAGTACCCTCCTTGGAAAAAGATGCATCTAGTTTAAATATTTTCTTTTATATGCATCTAAGAACTAATCAATGCCTTTTCCCAGGGGTTTTTTTTGGTCGTTTTTTTTTATCTGACTGTTCCTTCCCCTTTCAACTAAAAAAAAATTATTGCTTTCTTCCTATGAATAAATAATAGCCAAAATGTAAAAGTTCCTACTATAATAAATTTTTTCGATGGAGTAACTATTAATTAAGAAATGAATGTATTTTGTTTTCCTTTGGTCGATGTAGCAAAAAAAATTTGGATGGAAAACTTCATCAATGAGCGCGGTGCATTGTTGAAAACGTTTTCCGTCCAATTTTTCTCTATATAAATTTTAGCATTCCTAATTGTGAACAAGAAATTAAACAGAACTTGAGCATACCTGCGTACGAATAAAATTAATGCATGAATGTTTAAATATAATTTATTAATTTTGAAAAGTAAAATGCTATAGATTCTCCTCTATATAGCTTTTCTTAAACTTTTGCTATATGTTTTAATTCTGTGACCATTTCCTAGAAAAATTCGATTCTATCCATGTTGTACACAATGATTAATGAATCTATACCAAAATTGTAATATATGTTTCAAATATTTCTATGCCTTTTATCATATACTGTAAAACACATATTTTCGTGGGGTCAACTTTTCGTGGTTTGAGAAAAAACTATAGGTTCTTGGAAATTTGAAAATGGATGTCGAATTGAGTAGAGATGTATATCATAAATTTGTGATGGACAAAAAGTCGCTTCACACCTCGAAAACATCGAAAATTACTCCCCCCCCACGAAAATTTGTGATTTCACAGTTTCTCGGATCTTGATTTTAATTGTCTATGTACATATAATGATTCCTTTCATGCAATGATTCTTGCATTCCATGCTTTAAAATGGAGATTAATTCAAATTGTTTTGATACATTAAGGCCCAAATTTAACAATTTGACTATTTTAAGTTCCTATATTTTCCAGAAATGTCGATCCTTTATCTAAGGAATGAGAAATTTTTTTTTCCCGCTCATATCTCTTAACATTGCTCCTATAATTCCATTTTGAAATGTGGGTGCTGCTCATCATTTTCGAAAGGCCTTGCATATTATGCAATCAGAAAATTTAGGAAAAGGTTTTTTAACAATGTCTTTCTTATTATTTTTTTGACTCGAAAAAAAAAAATTATTTACCTTTCTCAGCTTGCCAGCGTGTCACAACACCTGATCTTGATCCTGCCATTATCTATAGCCTACAAGAAATGAAATTTTACTTGGGGTACATTTTATTTCAACTTTTGATTTAAATGCATAAATTTCTCAATGTTTTTGTTTTACAAGTGGTGCCTTTTTTGCAGAAAAATTTAATTAAAAAAGAAACATCAACACCCCCCCCCCCCAAAAAAAAATGTTCTTATTGTTTGCTTAAAGCTTTATGCAAAACGACAATCATTTAAAAAAATGAGGATAAATACCAACTTAATTAAAGTGATATTAGAATTGAGTTGTTAAGACACAGCAAAAGCAATTTCTAGACGTTTATGTTTTCATTGGAAAAGGAAACTTGAGTAGAAGTTATAAATCTATCGATATTTTAACTACCTTTCTCGAAATAACGTGACATCAACGCTACAATATGTTTTGGGAAAAAATGGAAATGTACATGCAAAGAAGTATAATGAAATGCATTATATGTCAGAAACTCATTACAAAAAAAAAATATATTTATTTTACACATTGAAATACAACTTAAAGGATGGATTTGTTTCCCTTTACATTCAATATATGTATTCTAAAAGAAGACTCTCTTTATCCCAAACTTTGTAATGTCCTGCTATTGAACACTTTATTGAAGATTCATCGATTGAAAAAATTATAAAGCTATCTTTGTAGGACTGTGGTTCTCTCTTTAAATACGATGCAGATAGACGGTAGAAAACACACTCAATGAATTAATATAATGAACATTTTAATCATATTCACCTGTATTGGTAAAATGCCAATAGCTTTCATCTAAATTGGAACCAGCTCATTTCAGATGAATTGAGTGGAATATTTGATATTCTAAAGTTGTGTCATCCGACTTTTTTCTGATTGATATCATTTTTATTTTCCGTTTATTTAATTTCAATATTTTAAGGATTATCATTCGTTTTTCTAAAAAAAAAAACACAATCTTTATTGTTGAAGTTCGAAATAGAGGCTTTAAGGTGTTTCTTTTTCAAAATATTATCTTTGCATTTTTACATTTCACAAATGTAAAAATGTTTACTATAAAGGGTATGAAGGACACAGGATAACACAACTCTATTTACCTATACCAAATTATTTTCTTTTTATAATTGCAAATCATGTAAACAATTCTGGTATTTTTATTTTTTACAATTTTTTTTACTTTATTTACCATCTTATATAAATAAAGTAAAAAAAATTTAAACATTTTTTAAACGCGTAAAAATAGGGAATAGGTTGTTCCACTCGTATGTTTCCCTACACTGCCCGTCAAACGTCGTATGTTTCCCGTTTGACGGGCAGTGTTGTGAAACATACGATCTGTTAATACAGCAAGATCATTATCAATGAATACACTGAAAAAGAATACACTGAATAATAATACACTGGCTGTATCATAAGTATAATGAAGGTCGTTATCAGTATGTGATGTGGTATTTGAGAATCTGGGAAGAACAATATTATTTTTGTATACCGTAAATCTTGAAATTTTTACTGTATATAAATTTTTAGCAATTTTGCGCCTACATTGCATTCGCAAAAATATTTTTCTTAAAAATAAATCAACATGTGAAGATTTTTGTTTTTCTAACAACTGTTTTTATTTAACTGAGTGAATAGTCGTCGGTAAGCACTGGTCATTTTTAAAAGAAACCTGTTTACATTAGTCTACTATAACTACAAGTTAATTACCCGTGCGTGTAAATTGCCCTCATTATATGCAATAAAGTCCGATGACTTGACAAGCTCTGTGGCGGTATGCCCCTTTTTAATTATTTTAATCAAATAATTTGCCAATAAAGAGATAACTGTCATTTTATCTAACCGTGTATCAACACGGGCGATAACTCAAACTCAGTGCATTTACTACAAAGTTCTGAATGTAAACGCGGCGTGTAAATTTCAGGTGAGAAAAAAACCAAACGTTGAGAAAATTAGTTATATAAATATTTTTTTCTTCATTTGGAATATACCTTACGTTAGAAGGCATACAAAACCTTTAAAATGTTTGTTATAATTGATTTAGAAATCACTGTCAGTGCAAATCCTTTTTCATATTTTTGTATTTTTATCAAAATTGTTTCGGAGCGATTTTTCAATATATTGCCTCGTTGCGTGTATATTGGTGGTATTCTAACTGGGCATATTATTTGAAACATAACCTGATATGAAAGTCTTCAGTGATTTTTATTTCTAGCACCAGTGACAATTCGCAAAAATTTGAAGCGTAAAAATTAATCAACAGCTTTTTGACCCAAATTCGCAAAAATAAATCGACGTAAAAATTTCCAGATTTACGGTATGAATGCAGATCTTAAATCTTTATTTATTTAAATTTCTAATCATAATTGTAAAAAAAATAATTTTGCTTATCTTTTCAAGTTTACATTAAGCAAAAAACTCAATCTTTTCTTTGTTTTCCAAAACTAAGGAATTAACTCTTTTTCATCCACCCCCTTTCTAGTTCTATTTCGGGGCGAATATTTGAATTATTGCGAAAAAAGTAAAACCACTCTTACCTTCATAAAATTTCGGCTGATTGTTCATTTCATTTAATTTAAAAATTGTTTTAAGGACCTGGGGCCTGTTTTACAAAAGAACTTACGACTAAGACCAAAAACTTCAGATTATTGTAAAATTTTGCAAAATTAATAATTCTCTTTTAAATTCTATGTGTAAAAAATCTTACCACATTGTTTGTAAAATATTTTTAATAATTTTCGATATAATGTTAATCAAAAAGTTACATGAATAATTATACTTGGTCTTAAGTCGTAAGCCCTTTTGTAAAACGGGCCCCTTAGTTATTTCCAATGTAGAAAAGTGTTCATCAAGTCGTCTGCCAGTTTTTGTTTGTTTTGTCAACATAGAAGAAATTACCTTTATGGCGGTTGTACATAATTTCCAGCATTATATTAACGATCGCAAATACCTCTGTCGTACACATATACCTCATCAAATTATATATACATCAAATATACATTAAATATACATTCAGTCCAAAATCCATCTCTACTCAATGCACAAAAGATAGAAAGCAATTATCAAGGTAGGCGGAACCAGAAAACACACCAATAGATTGATTAATAGAGAATTGGATCATGACCGTTATGACGTTCAAATTTATCTATTCATGTAAGGGTTTTACATTTTTAAAAGCAATCAACCCGTTCCTAATTAAAATATGTTTTTGTCGAGAATTTTTTTTCTGTTACGTATTACCATTTAAGCAATTTTTTTTTCATTTTTTACCCCAAAAGGTGTCTTGCTAAACATTTGTGGATTTAACAATATATATATTACATAATATAGTCCTAATGAAAACCACAAGCATATTAATATCTTAATTTGAGGTATCTAGATCTACTGAGGTTTTTTTCGGAAACAGCTTTAAAATTACAAGATGATGGAAATTGTGATTATTATACTTAAGTGTTTATGATGAAGACATGCAAAACAGATATTGTAGCAGGCAGTGTTTTAGACCAAAATTAAGTATGTGTCCATGGAAGGGAAAATAATTACGTTTATTAAATAAACTTACATTATTATTGCAACATAATTATTGCATCATAATTAACTTTAAGTGGAAGCTTTATGCTTTTTTTCTTCAAGTTGATTTGCTAAAAATCAGTTGATATAGCATAACGTTTATGAAGCCTCTAGATACATATACAAGGTCTTTTAACAATGCATCGGAAAGCTCATGGATCTTGCGTCTTTGTTCAAACAGACCTTTTTGAATTCCTATTAGAAAGAATTTAATTGAAGTACATGATGTTTTGTAACATAAAATCATACAACAGACCTATTTTTGTATTCATATGAAGCAGAATTTATACAAATTGTATGCGTGAAAAGACTTCCTGTGGCCTTCTGCTCGACATTTAGATATGTTGACGACATATTGTCAATTAATAATGATAATTCCATTCCCACTCCTATTTAGATACCTTTTATTTTGGTGAGCTTGAGATAAAAGATACCACTCACCTGCGTACGGAGTTCATATGTGAGAGAGTTCCTAATTCTATATATGAGAGAGTTCCTGCTCCTATTTTTGTATTGTTTAATGGACTCTGATGTTGATCATGAATATTGTTCGTTTTCGCCATATCTTCCATGATAAATAATGAAATGCGCTTCACCTACTCATTCTTCAAAAATTCAATGTCGTCAAAAGTAAATATCAATTATAAATTGAAATGACATATTGAGGCCAACAAAACTGATTGTAAAACATTTGCTAGAGAATCGAACCTTGCCTTAAACGTGTGTTTTCTTTTGCATACCTTATATTGAGTTTTTAAAAAACGAAATTTTTAATTGAAATATTTTCTCTCTCGCGATTAGATAAGAAATAGATCTGATGTAGTTGAGATATACGAGTATTCTAAAATTGTCCCGTGTTATTGCCAAAACAAATGTATTGGCTATATTAGATAATGAGGCGCCACTCTCCTTTCTCAAACTTTGTCACGTTATTTGTTTATATTCCTTTTTACGCTGAACAATTTGGAAGTCAACCGGAACGAGCACACTATATTCATATCTTTAAATCGATTTTTCAATAAAAAAAGTTAATTATTTTTTCTCTCAAACAAAGCATTTAAATACACATTTGAAAAATCAATTTAGTTATTAACATCAAAAGTTCATTTCAAGTCTAGTCTAAAAGGAGCTCTAAAACTCTAGATAGCATTTCCTCTGTTTGGTTGAATAAATGATTTCGTAATGATAGGTAATTACGTACTCATATAATTAAGAATAGAACAACTCTTCCAGTATATAAGTATACAGGATTTCCACAAGTCATCAAGATACTGCTCTTCTTTTAAATGTTGTTAACTTTCAATTAAAAGAAATATTGAATCCCATGAAATTAATCAATACGAGTACGAAATGATCTCAGCGAGAGATTCCCTAGTATACAACTCATCCACCGATAAACCTAAGATTAAAACATTGGCAGGAAATCAATAAAAGGAAGGTTAAATAAATATTGCCTCATGAATTGATTTTTTTCTAGTCTTTTTATAAACCATAACCTGTTCCTATGTTGTAGATGGATAACAAAATCTATGATAAAGATGCCAAAATAATACATTAATGACCTTGCTTTATGGTAATTTTGATATTCAATATCTTTTAAGGACGTTCATGTTCATAGTGGTTTAATTTTCACAAATTATAGAAAAAAAGTTTCAAAAAATTCTTAGAAAACGCACTTTTGATAAGAATGTCTTCATTAAAAGTTCAAACATGGAATAAATCTGTCATTTAATACCCCTCGTGTCTTTTTAATACAAAGAACAAATATCGATGAAATATGTAAATATTGTTCCTGAACAAACTTGCGCTCTATAAATTCTAAAGCTAAAATTGTTGAAATTTTGTCCATTTTGTCCTCTTTCTGAAAAAAGATATAAAATCGGACTAGTTTGTGACGTCATAAAAACAAAAATTGTGAATAAACTGCTTTGAAACTATAAATGTTTTGTTAATTTATATTTCTCATACAATTTATTGAATTCAGCACATTTCAGGAAGTTTTCAAAATTTACTTTTGTGGGGGCAAGTATATGTAATATACTGCATAAAGTTCTTTGACCGATTGATTGATAATTTCAGGGCCATGTGCTTTAAATATTAGTGGAAAGAGAAAATTTCAATAAGGGATTTGTTCATTGAAAAATGATATTTGTTTTCAGTAAACTGAGTTAAGTTTTATGATGAGACAGTTACAATCACAAGAGAAAAAAAAAAAAAATTAATTCTTTATTATATGTTTTAGGATGGAATCAAAGAATTTTTACGGAGTATTAGTTTAAGTAATTATTTTCTAAACAATGTAAAAACAAAAAATTCTTTTGGGGGAAAGAAATCGATTTTAAAGAAATTTGATGACATGCAGAATGTATCAAAAACCAAAAACATAATAAAATATTTATTTGTTTCATACATAACACAACAGTCCGTGAAAAGGATCGATTTACCCTTCATTAACAGACATCTGAGTTTTGATAGAGGACTCTTTTAACCTAAATGTGTCATGTTCCATCACTAAACACTGTATCTAAGGTAAACTGAAAAATCCATAAACTTATCTAAGGAAGACCAAAACAATCAAAGCAGGTGATTTTTCTAACCAACTTTATCAAGAGAGAGAGAGAGAGAGAGAGAGAGAGAGAGAGAGAGAGAGAGAGAGAGAGAGAGAGAGAGAGAGAGAGAGAGAGAGAGAGAGAGAGAGAGAGAGAGAGACGATATATTCAAAAGAATTCTATTAGGCAATTAATGAAAAGAATTCAATTAAAATGATATCGACTTATAAACGTTAGCACGTCACTATTTCAATCAAATTTGGCAATTAAAATCTAGTGTTATGCACAGAAAAAAATTCAGTTCAAATTAGATTAATTGGGTTTTATTTATGATTTTTTTCTAAAGTGACGGCTTCCTAGTTTTCTTTATTTTGATATGATTTACAATTTTTATTTTCTAATTTAATTCCACAGGGATTTTTTTATTTATTTTTTTCACTGCAAACGTTATATATAGTTGTTATATTCCTTGACATATGTTCGTAGTATTTTCTTGTAAACATTGATAATTCAGAGACTTTTAAAAATCCAAACACCGACCAATTCATTATTCTTTATTAAGTATTTTACACAAAAAGTGATTCTCTTTAAAGAAAATGGGTATATTTCAAATGTGTCCAGTGAAGTTTAATTCATTCACTGTCTTGTATTGAGCTAAAAGTGTTTTTTGACACGTTTGAACGCTTTTGAAAGGAATAGTGTCATTTACAAAAACTTGGTATCAACTTTGAAAGACTTTTTGCTGGAAAATGGTAAGGTATTTCATTTCCATTTCTTTTTAGATTTTCAATTTATTAATTAATTAAAAAGGAGAACAATGAAAAATGTATTCTAAAAAATAAAAAAATGGACTTAATTTCTTTTCCTATTTGTTTAATATCGACGCAAATATATAAGTCAATATTGAAAAAAGTAAAATCATTCTTACCTTTAAAGAATTGCTTTAAGACATGAAATGTTTTCACTACACAGAAGAGGTTCTGCAATTTTTCTTTCATTTTCTAAAGTCTTTTTGCATATATCATCTTTATGGCCATTTTGAATCCCAGTTCTCTCTTAACACTGCCAATAATCTCTGTTACGTGTTGCCCAGTACATTCGGTAAACATATATTCTGTTCAAAATTCATATCTACTCAAGCAGGATAAATAGAGAGAAAATACCAAGGTTGACGGAACAGCGAGTTCTTAAGAAATTTTTAACAAAAACATTTTCTCACTCGACTAGATAAGAAATAGATTTGGTGTAGCTGAAATGTAAGGGTACATGTGTATTTCATAATTGTCCCGATGATTTGCGTTATTGCCAAACCGAATGTATTGGTTAAATTCAATAATAAAACAGCACTCTCCTTACTCAACCTTTGTCATGTTATCTGTTATATTTTTTTACGACAAAAAAATTGGAAACCAATCTTAAAGAGAACTCTAGTTTCGTATTTTTTAATCGTTTTCTCAAAAACTCCAATTATTCGCTCTGTCAAACAAAGTATTGAAATACACATTTGAAGAATCAATTAAGTTCATTTTAAGTATAGTTTAAAAGGAGCTGTAAAATCTAGACAGCATTTCCCCTGTTTGGTTGAATAAATGATTTCGTAAGGATAGGTTGAGTACTCAGATTATTTTGTATAAAGCATTTCTTCCAGTATATAAGTAAACAAAAAAATACATGAGTCATCATGTATACTGCTCTTATTTTAAACCTTGTTCACTTTTGAATAAAAAAATATTGAATCCCATGAACGCATAATTAATCAATCCGAGAACAAATTTATCTCAGCAAGGATTCCCTAGTGTACACCTCATCCACAAAAAAACTT